AAAGCCTCAAGGGATTATAATATTTGATACTTACCTAAAATTATACAGAGAATATATACATCTAAGTGTGGGGGGTGCACGAATGCATGTGTGCACTCACACACACGTGCATTCACACACACATGCACACACATCTTGAGGCTAACAAAATCCCAGTATCAGACATGAAGGGAGTCGAAATGACTCCCAAAACAAGAGAGATTATCAACGTAGCCCTTGGTTGTCTCTCAGAGGTTGAGGGTGGCCCCTACTGCTAGAGAAACCACACATTCAGAACACACCATTCGGATAACGTGAGCTGGATCTGACTTAAAAGCATCTTTCCTATGCTCTAGCCTCAACAGTTCCAGAAAATACTATGCAAGCTGCCAGGGTCAGGGAGGGGCCAATCCGACAGTCCTACCCAGCTTCAATAGCTATGAACCATGACTATGAACCATCATGGCAAAACAGGCATAAAGGAGCATGAAGTGGCAACCGCTGGCTGTCTAATTTAACCTATGGCCAATTCAACAGGAGGGAGTTGATTCGGGCACTGGATCCTAGGCAGCTTCACCAGGCTGGCAAGGTCACGGGCCTCAGAAAAGAATCTACTACCAGCACTCTGTAACTCCAAACCGCACTCTCAGTGCGACCCTTACACCACAGACAGGTGCAGCTAACACTCCTCACTAAAGAAGCCTTTTACAGCACATGGAGACCACCCCAGAAAAGCACAGCAGAAGACAACACAGAGATCACACCTTGGGAAGCCCAGGCCAGTGGACAGAACATCTACACCACAGATACGTTAACGTGGATAAGGGAATTTCCCTAAGTCCCACGCCTGGACAAAGGACTACAGGCAACTCATGACTGCCGGGAGAAGAATTAGCCTCTCCCAAGATGAGCCCTCTTACTGGTCAGTCAGTGCAGAGTGGTCAGCCTTGAAACCAATATAGATGCAAACAAGTAAGGACTCAGGAAGTTGTATTTGTATATATTTGTGCATGCATGTACATCCATGTTTAACCTATAATTTAAAAAAGGCTATCAACTTGAGGGGGGCACAGGAGGGGTTCAAGGGATAGGTGGAAGGGCTGGAGGGGGAAGGGGAAGTAATGCCATCCTTTCTATTTCAATGAATTTTTTTCAAAAAGTTAAAAAATGAAAATTTTAAATAAAATTTAAAAAGAATGGGGCACCTGCTAGGAGCAGAGAAACTACAGAGAATAGTTAAGTGTAAACACTGGATCAAACCTGGGGCTACAAAGACTGTGGCGACGGTAGGACAGGGAGCAGAAGAGGTCAAGGCACAGGGTCAGCTGTGGCTCCTTTACTCCTCCCGCCCTGGCATCTCACAGGCTCCTGCTTAGGAGTGCATGCAACTGGGGGCGGGGGTGGGGCTCTTACTCTTGAACACTTTGGTTTGAGTCACGGTCTTATTATGTATTCCAGGTATCACCTGCACTTGAGATCCTCCTGCCTCTGTTCCCCAAACACTGGAGTTACAAGAGTATGCCATTACACCTACCTATAACCTGTATCTTAATTAACTCTAGAGTTTTTAACTTTTATTACATTATAACTCCAAGAGAAAGAACTATAAATGACTGAAGTTTTATGTTGCCTTATGGGTAGCAAAGACTCACATTCACAAACACTGCCACTCAGCTTTGGGCGGATAAAAAACAAAACAAAACCAGAGCAAAGTCCAAACACCATACAAAAGAATGTATTTTGCCTAACACTACCCTAAACACAGCTGAAGAAGCAGCTGTGGTTCCTTCTCATTGAGGAGAATCAGTTAGTCATTTGTAGGCCTAAAACCCTCCCAGGCATCCTACCTCAAAGTAAAGCCCAAAGTCAGGCATGGTGCCCAGTCACACCTTCAAATCCGAGACAGCAACTTGCCCAGAGCAGCCCTCCCAACCACTCCAAGCCATCCTACTCCATGTTCCCTGCTCTGGCCATCCTTCCCTCACAACGGCCACGCCTAGGCTGGGATCCACTTATGTGGTTCCTCTCTTCCCAGCTACAAGGCAAAGACAAGGACAGGGACTTTAGCCTTTAAATGCTTAGAGAATGTCATTGCTGTGGGGGAGGGGGCATGAACGTGTGTGTGAGTCAGAAGACAACTTTGGGGGGTTCTCTCTCCCGTGGGTTCCAGGGACAGAGCTTTGGTTGGTCATCCTACCTACCGACATATCTTAGCTTTGGCCATTTCTGTTTAATACCTTATCCGTACTCTCTAAGGCTCAACATTCTCAATGCTTATTTGTAGAGCAAATGAATTGTCCCTTAAACTGGTATAATAGCATAGCAGAACTTGCCTTTTGTTTTACACACACACACACACACACACACACACACACACACACCCCTTGCTGGGTCTGAAGAGATGGCTCAGCAGTTAAAGGTACTTGTTCTTCCAGAGGACCTGGGTTCAGCTCCCAGCACCCAGGCCAGGTGTAACTCCAGCTCCAAGGGGGCATATACCCTCCCTGGTCTCCACGGGCGTCTGCACACATGTGGCTTTCATTCACACACACACACACACACACACACACACACACACACACACACGCACTAAAATAATAAAGAAATCTTAAAGTGATCCTGCTTTGCCAGACAACTGCACTGTCTCCCTGACCCCCCCCCCCACCTTCTCAGGTCACAGCTCTTCTGCTTATGTGACGTAAACAATGCTACGAAGAGCGTGAAGCCCAGCGCTTCCTCGAGCTCACATCTCACAAAATCTCTGCCCTCCTAGAAAAGAGAATGACAGAAACTTCAGTGCTCACCGCGCACACTTACCCAGCAAGAGAGGAAGTGCAGAAATTCCTCAGACCCCGTGTCACTTCTGTCACTTCTCATGATGACTAGACACAAGACCACACGCGGAGGCACCGCCAAGGCGCAGTTTACACCACGACTATCTGGGCTGTTTGGCAGAAATTTTGTGTTGCTATTTCTATATACACAAGGCTTCACAGAACACCAAAATGTTATTAGTCACGGACCAGTTTCTCCCTTTTCCTTAGTTTCTGACAGCACCTGTTCTTTACTCTGATGACTGTCACTCACGATGACCTTTTACACAGTGTCAACAGCTAACTTCTAGAAGCACAGTAAAGAGAAAATACGTAAATAACTGATTCATTCACCTAGTATCACCACTAATTACTGAGCACATGCTACACATGCATGACCGCAATGCAGAGAGTGAGAAAAACGCTTCACATAAATGTCTTTCTAATGTGTGTGGGACCTCGAGTCCACTGGAACAGTATGGGCATAGCCAAAGAAGCCACTGTAACTTTCAACAATAAACTGTGTTATCTCATGTGTGGCTACAACAGTGTCTGCAGTTACTGCCTCTTCTTTATACACTTAGAAGACCACTTTTATACCAAAGAAGGCATGGATCCGCCAGGCACAGTGACATATTCTTTAATCCCAACACTTGGAGGCACAGACAGGCCAATCTGTGAGTCCAGGGCCAGCCATCTTGTCTAAAACAAAGTGACAGATCCTACTTGCCAGAACACCTGCTTTAATTAGCCAAGTCTTCCAAATCAGAAACCAAAAGGTACCCCACTAGGACGGGCTTCCAAACTGAAAACTCCCAACGGTGCCGATTCCATTCTGCTCGTGTGCAGAGCCAGGCGTACATCCCAGGCCTGGCACACACTAGTGCTCTTTGCACTTGGTCACATCCTTAGGCCTCACTGGTGTTTAAGGGGCACAGTTCAAAGTCATGTCGTGTTTACCTATCAAGTCATAAAAACCTTTGCATTTCGCCTTATAGGGTTGGATCATCTTGGCGCGCACTCCATCTAACGCCTTTGTTTTATACATAGTAAGGTAGAAGCCCAGGAACTCCACAGACTTGGTGCCTGCTCTCCAGCTTTCCTCTGCAGACCTATAACAGCCCTGCGAAAGGGCAATCTTCACAGAATCCTGCAGCAAGGAGGCCTCCGCGCTCAGGAGGCTGCCAAGAGGGCTCAGTGTAAAGGAACTTGCCACCAAGTGTGAAACTGGAGTTCAATCCCAGGACCCACGTGGCAGAGGAGGAGAATCAGTTCCTAAAAGTTGTTCTCTCATCTCCTGTGTATGCCCTGGCACAGCATGCTGCAGGCACATGTGCAAACACACCAACACATACATGCAAAGTAAATAAGTAACTTTGAAGGCCTCTGGGGCATTAAGCTACAATGTCCTATACAGTGACGCAATTCTTTCTACAGCATCCCTCAAGTTCAAAGCATCCTGTTTTTAAAATAGCATATCCCATTTTAAACAAAGTAGTTCCAATGTTGGGTTTGACTTGAAAATCTGCCCCAGCCCCTCGTCCTACTGACCCATCTTCTAGTCCCTGGAATAAGGATGGCTGAGGAAAGCAATCTAAACTCCCACTCCAAGCAGGAGACAAGGGCTGTAGTCCCGAGAAGACTAAGCATCCTCAGCTCACTCAGTCACTTGTTCTATGATCTCTGCCCGCCACCAGCCCAGTCCCAGTCCAAGTGACCTCTGTCCTTCCAAAAGCAGCACCCCATATGACAGGCCAGATCACAGGGGGACAGGGTGACCACTCTGCTCTGGCTTGCTCTGAGCACTGTCCGCAGCCCGGGCTGGGCTCTCCACAGCCGCTGATTCAGGAGGCTCCCTCGACTGAAAACAGAACTAACTTCTGTACTAGGAGGGTCTTTCTCCCTCACTGCAGAAACCTGTTAGGATCCGGGCGGCATAAACTAGACTCCTGATACCACCATGTGTCCAGGCAGACAGCACTATTAGACTTGATACTTTCTTTAACCCACGCCCCCACCTCTCTCTGCAAAGTTTACTGCTTCAAAAAAATTTTTTTTAAGATTTAAAATCTTTATGGAAAAATTTTAAAAGTTCCATAGATAATAGCAATTCACAAAGTCCAAGGGGCTTTTGAATATTTTTTTTTAAATCAGTATCAGAAAAAAAAATCTCACTTCCCATTTGAAAAAAAACCACACACGCATTTGTGAGGCTAACTGCTTGCAGCTACACTCAGTCACAGAACGACAGGAAAAAGGCACCACCATAAAAGGACGCCTGCTCAGCCTCTCTTAAAGCAACATGCCCAGTTAACGAACCAGTGTGGGCAACACGGACTGCTACAGCGGAGGTTCCAGCCACCCTGACATGTGAGTACCGGACACTCTTCTCTCATGAATACTTTGAAAGCCTAACTTTTAAGGTAAAGGAGAAAGAAAAGAATGAAACTAAATAGCCAGCTGCTCAGGTTTCTCTGGGGTCACTGCAGTTCAAATCAGCTACTGAGATAGAAGCAATGAATGAAACTTTATTGCCAAAAAGCAGGGCTGGGTTTACACACTTCAGTGTGAACTCACAATACAAGAAAACATTAGCAAATAACATCAATATTTCAGTTCTTTAATATGAAGGGAAAGGAACAATGTTACTAAAAGTGTCCCTACATTCGGATATATTTTATATACAATATGACCAGTTATGCTAATTTTTAAGAGACCATTACACTTGACTACCTGGAATGCATTTATGTACAGAAAAGCCTTTTCGATACTTAATATTTCTCAGAGACTACTGGAAGTAGAAATCCTGGGGCAAAAGGTTTATTTTCTAAAGCACCAAATATAGAACAGTGATTTCTGCTTTGCAAAAATATCTTATCAATTTATTCTTCCACCAGCAAAGATTAATGATCAGCCTGGTCTTTGCTGCCTCAGAAGAAAAATCATTTTAAAGAACAACTCTTAATAAGAGAAAAATAAAATCTATGTCATTGGTTTCTATTATTAAGTGACCAGTAATGCTAAATAAGCCTGCATACTAACATTCTAGAAATCTTTAAAGAAAAATCATAAAAATAAAGAATTATATGTAGTGATTTGTAAAAACCTCAATTTCCAGGGTGAAAGCAGAGGTTTTACAGAAGCGCCTAACATAAAACAAGCCATGAAGGGACTTCCTCTCCAAAATGAGGGGCTTTTGTTGGTGTGGTGGTGTTTTCTGGTTAAGGGTGTGAATCTTTTGGCGTCACCCTGAGTACAACAGAGTGTAACAGTTAAGAGAGGAGCTTGGGACCAGTCCTCAAACCTAGGCTCCGGCGTTTATAACCGCTTGACCTCAGACTGATGCTGCTGAAGGTCTTTGGCTTCAGTTGCTTCATTTCTAAAGTGGGAGAAATGTTTCTGCCAAGTTCTAGCACCGCCTCTTGTAGTAAGTGCTGGGATACGGCTGCCACCCTTGCCCTGCTCATCAGCCCACAGAAGGATGAAGCTAATGGGCAACGTTTCCTTGCCCTAAAATTTCTGCGCAAATTACTTTCTGAAGATGTCTACTTTCTGTGATATTTTATGTGAAGCCTCAGCATGTACGGATGTGCTTTCTAGTATCTCTGGGGCCTAACGGTGCTTTGTGAGCCTAAACCTACCAGAGCGCGCGGCTCCACAGAGCAGCCTCCCTCACAGGCTCACTCTATACGTGGGAGGCTGTGGAAATAAGTCCTTCTCTAAGCTACTTTTGGCAGGCTTCCTAGAGTCAGTCAGGCAGTGGAGCAAACACTGTGCTAACGGAGCTCACTCCAGGACTTCCATATGCTAGGCGTTTATAGAGTGACTGGGGTTAGCAGCCTATGATGTAAAAATGCACATGCAAGGGCTGCTGAGCTTGACCTGCAGACACTAATAAACACAGGTGTCTACAGGGAGACCTCTCTGCCACGGTAAGAGGTGAGGTGCTGGAGGTGAGCAGTGTCCTCCCGTCTGTCCCAGGCTGTTGCTGCAATTCTGGCCATGGTTAGGAGATTAGGTCAGTCTCGCAGAATTCTCCACATGTAGTGGAGGTGCCAGAACTCATGGCGTCCTGTTAGCCCAAAGAGGAGAGAAAGTATGTTGTCAGAAATCCACACAGCCCTGAAACATAGCACAAAGGAAGGTCAACATCATACAAGCTATGCTGGCCTTCGCTGTTCTCTTCCAATAGAAATGGCATTGTTAAAAATAGTAGACACCTTTCTAAATCTTCAGTCAGAGGCTGTGGACCTGTCTCTACCATGTTCTGAGCTTGAGGCTAGCCAGGAGTGCAGGAGATCCTACCCTAAAAAACAAATCAAACCCCAAATACTCAACCATCCTTCATTTGACTTAAAACATGTCATAAATTGATGATTACTTCATTTAGGTTCTCCTGTCTCCCTCCTCTTTCTCAGACACAGATAAGCAGGCACGTGTCAAAAGCTCTGAACATTTAGGTTCTCCTGTCTCCCTCCTCCTCCTCAGACACAGACAAGCAGGCGCGTGTCAGAAGCTCTGAACATTTAGGTTCTCCTGTCTCCCTCCTCCTCCTCAGACACAGACAAGCAGGCAGTGTCAAAAGCTCTGAAACTCCTTCCTGTTTTGTTGCTTTCCACTCATTGTGCCTCGATCTGGGAAACAGGAACTCGGGACAACACATCCTGTGTTGAATGTCATTTTTCTGGCGGCAAAGAGTGAGTTTAAACTTAACGGCTACAGCTGTGCCTGCAGCCACCGAGGCGCTCTTGTCTCTGCTGCGTGAGTGGTTGACAGAGAACTCTTCAGCAAGGATTAGGGCAGCTGAGATTTGGCCATTCTTGTTTATCTTTGGGGTGTAAGAACTGCCACTTATATCCCCACTCTCGAAACTTCACAGGAGTGCGAGAGACAAAACCACAACCTCAACAATGCTCTGCCTTCCTGGGTGGGGTAGGGTGGAGAGGGAGCAGAGGTTTGGAAGCTTCCAGGGACAGAGGGAAGGATGCCGGAATAAAGAGGGGAGATTGTCAGGGGCACAGACTCCCAGAGGAAGCGAGGAGAGAGGCCTGTGATGAAGGAAGCAGGGATGGCTAGCTTTCCGCCTGCCCTGGGCCTGTGGGCCCAGATGACGGGCTCTCCAGAGAAGAGGCCGCCAGGTCACCACACAGTGCAGAGGGGAAGGACTTCAGACAGCAAGGTCACAGACAGCGGGGAGGCAGATAAGGACATAAAGCTGTGTTGCAGGGTGGGCGCAGTGCAGTTAAGGCTGGAGGAAAAGACCCAGCAACGGGGGAAGGACAGAGCCCTGACCTCCCAAATGATCCACACCTCGAGGAATCCTGGGCAAATGACTGAACCCGCCCTTAATTCAGCACAGCCACAAAATAAGGAGGCTTAGCTTAAAGCTTAAAGCTCCCTTCAGTGGGAAGGGTACATAGTGCATGCTGTTTCTAAAAGCATTCTGAACCCAGAGGAGTAATTCTGGGTGCACACACCTTCATTACAAAGGCCTTCCTATATGCACAGAAGATCCCACCAATCCTGCTACATGCACACAAAGGGCATCTGCCCTCCTTGTGCTGAAGTGGGTGTGGTAACAGCTACCTTTAAATTCTTACAGTAACTTACAGTGACATCACCAGCTCTGATAATTATTATGGCACTGCTAAAACTGCCAAAAGCCACACAAGGGATAATTACTGAAAGGTTAAAAAAAAAATCTGGAGTATGTCCAGCCCAAGTATACAGGACAGTGCTCAAGCAGACACCCCATCCATTCTAACAGGCAGATCCCCAGTAGGCTGTGCCCACCAGAGTCAGACACCCAAGAGCACCAAGGGCAAACTGCAGACAGGAGGACAGCACTCAGCTGTCCTGACAAGGTCCCTGTGCCGTCAGTGGTTGGAGGCAGGCATGTCACGGAGCTGATACTTTCAAAAGCTAGAGAAAGCGAGCTCCCCTCGAGCAGGCTGACCATGTTCAACACTCCCCTGAATAAAATCAATGAGTTCTGTTCAATGTGGGGATAAGGATACAGGAGAAAATTAGAAAACAGTCAACAGACACAGACACAGCCATCAAATCAGGATTCAGAAATGACTGCACGGTGAAGAACCCACTTAATACCACATTTATTTAACCAGGGCACTGTGGCATGTACCGGTTAGCAGCACATGGGAGTGGACAACTGGACAAATTTATCTGGTGTTCCTCTGCAAGCTGACGGAACACTTGCCACCTTCCATGTACAGGCAGACAGCACACACAGCAGCTGTTAGCCAACTAAAAGGGGAACAAACGCTGACCTCATGCTGCAGGTGTTGACACTGAGCTAAACTCAGATGTCCCTGTTAAATAAGAGCAAAGACATGTGGACACACTTGACAAGTGCTCACGCAGCTAGGTAGTCAGAAAAGAGCAAGGTGTGGTTTCTTCCCTCCCAGGAGCAGCTTCTTATCAAAGGCCTCTTATTAAATAGCGTCGGCTGCTGTCCGGCTGTGTCTGTGCCACTCTCTGTCCCCTTAGAGGACATCCTGGTACCCATCATCCTGTGTCTTCACGTCCCTCCTGTACCCATCATCCTGTGTCTTCACGTCCCTCCTGGTATCCACCATCCTGTGTCTTCACATCCCTCCTGTACCCCATCATCCTGTGTCTTCACGTCCCTCCTGGTACCCCATCATCCTGTGTCTTCACGTCCCTCCTGTACCCATCACCCTGTGTCTTCACGTCCCTCCTGTACCCCATCATCCTGAGTCTTCACGTCCCTTCCCGGTACCCATCATCCTGTGTCTTCACGTCCCTCCTGGTATCCATCATCCTGTGTCTTCACGTCCCTCCTGTACCCACCATCTTGTGTCTTCACGTCCCTTCCCGGTACCCACCATCCGGTGTCTTCATGTCCCTCCTGTACCCCATCATCCTGTGTCTTCACGTCCCTCCTGTACCCCATCATCCTGTGTCTTCACGTCCCTCCTGGTATCCATCATCCTGTGTCTTCACGTCCCTCCTGGTATCCATCATCCTGTGTCTTCACGTCCCTCCTGGTATCCATCATCCTGTGTCTTCACGTCCCTCCTGTACCCACCATCTTGTGTCTTCACGTCCCTCCTGGTACCCACCATCCTGTGTCTTCACGTCCCTCCTGTACCCACCATCCTGTGTCTTCACGTCCCTCCTGGTACTCCCCCCTTTCCACTCATTTCATCTCCCCCAATTCTAAGCATTTTTTCACAATCTTATCCTTTTTCAAGATAATAGCCAAAACTATGCCAGCAGAATCCGGGGAAGAGCTGGGTCATTTGTAACTTGACAGCAACCCCCGCCATGATTTCTACCTGTGCCTCACTGCTTTTAGTGGCCCTTCTGGATGTTTTTCAAAGTTTAACTCCCTCTTTGGCACACACAAGCAAAGTCACCCCTCTGACCAAGGCAGGTCTCAATCCAACCCAATCTTACCAAGGTAACAACAGACAGCTCAACACATGGCTAAAGCTGAAGGTGACAAAGGACCCCTCTTTGACTTAAGGCATTGATAATTCTCAGATAATGGTGACACTTCAAACACCTTAGAACCCCAAAGCTATTACTTTAGCATGAACCAAATCTTTAACTATGATGAAGGTTTGTTCTGTTTCTGTCATGGGTTAAGAAGAGCCCTCTAATTTCCCACGCAAATGAATTAGGCTAGCAGAAGTCTATGTACCTTTAAAACTTCATGTTGGTTCTCAGAGTAAATGTTTCCTGAGTACAAATTATATCAGAGCTTAGGCAATTTTCTTAAACACTAATTAGTGAGTTTTGGGGGGATGTTTCCCCTCCTTTCTGTCGGAAGAAAAAAAAAACAGTCACTTCATGTCAACATGTCTGGTTATGCAAAGATGAAATGATAATATCTCAAGAAATGTTGGCAACTCTACAGGCAAAGAAGTAAGTTTTACAAATAGACAGACACAGACAGACACACACCACTTTTCAAGTACACCAGGGAACGACTCTGGAAGGTAATCTTCAGAAGAAATGGTTTCACACACACGAGGGTGACGGTGGAGTCAAAGAAGCAGACGTCATGTTACAGACAGAACAACCCCAGAATAACAAGATGGCCTCCAGTGTCCATCCTCAGGAGGAGGGGGAGTTGGGAGGCAGACACACCCTTTTGTTCATTTCATACTTTTAGCAAATGGTGCTTTCGATGTTTAATGTTTTGTCTGTGTGTGCTAGATCCCGGGAATGCAGAAATAATTCTTTTTTATATTAGAGGGTCGCGAATTAAAGGATAGATATAAAATGTCAGGAACGGCTGTTCCTCACAAGGGTCAACCCTGAAGAAAAATCCCATTTTATGCACCTCAGTTACTGTCTATGCCCTTGGGGAAGACGTCAGCATCTTGATTGTTGTCCTTTAATATGTGGAATGTGGAGCCGAGTATACAATTCATCAAAAGCCTTGTACTGAAACCATCATTCTTATAAATATTAGTGTTCTAAAGGAAACAGATTTAGGACACACCCTGAGGGCTTTTCCCTACTACAGTGACATATTACAGTACTTTCAGGTTTAACTCACACACACGTATGTAGGTTTATATATGTGTGCATACATAAATATTCTAAACATGTCAGAAGCTGCTGCCAAATCATAATTAAAATGAAAAATAAAGAGCACTAAAATGTAAGCTATACTTTGAAAAGGCCAATCTGAGGCCAGTGCAGGCAGACTAAACACAAGTCCCCAGATCACTCCTACAGTGTTACTTACTGGCATATATACTATCTAGGCAGGCATATTTCTGTGTGTGCGCGTGTGTACACATGTGCGTTTGTGTATGCTTTCCTCCCCAGAGTAGCATGCCGTGTGATCATAAGTTCCTGTTGAGAAATAGTCACGTGTTGCTGCTTTCACACCCCACAGCATGGCCAAACCATAGGACACCCTGCAGGTCACTAACTGAGAGAGTCTGTGCTGTAGTTAGTGCTGGGCTGATGGCTCCGACACCTGAGCTGTTTTGAAACCACTCCCAGGAATCGTTAGCAGCGGACACACAATGGCAGCCTTTCCCTCTCTTCTGCTGTGCTGCCTCTCCTAATCTTTACAGTCGTGGTTAGTGTGGAGATTTGGCAACTACACACACATTTTCCCCTGTGAGCATTTTTTTTAAGATCAGATTCCAGGAACTAGCTTTGGAGAACTCCTCAAAAATGGTAGGTGAAATTTTCAGGGGAAGAAACTCCACGAAGCTGGAGAAACATTTGTCCTCAGCGAGCGCCTTGTCCAGAGGCCGCACTCCCCTGCGCCTAGCTTTCCCACAGAAAATGTGGTTCCCACTTTTATTTCTTTCACTTCCAAGGCAAGAGCCTCTGAGTTTTTATTCCTACACAAACCATGAAGCCATATCTGTCTTTGTTGCGTTGGTTTTGATTTTACTAATTTCACAGTTGTCTTTTTATTTACTTCTGATTTTGCTGGACAAATTTGGTTCTCTGGTTTAAGCTGTATGGTTAACATCTATTTTTCAATCTTTCTTTTTATTTTACTTTAAGCATTTCAGAAACTTCCAGAGTGGTACCTTCTTTAACTCAGAGGTCTTCATTTCCGAGTTCACTCCTCACTGCTTTACAGTTGGTTTCTACGTTAGCTGTACTACAGTCAGGCTGTGTGACCTGCTCAGGGATGACTTTCTGCCGTCTGGAGAATCTTCTGGTGGCCTATTACATGGCTGAGCTTGAAACATGCTCATGTCTTCCACACATATTCTGCTAACTTCAAGATGTTTCATTTTCTTCTCTAGGATCTTATTCATATACATACGACTGCCCATTATGATTGTAGACTTGTTACTCTTTCCTTTAAACCACATGAAATTTTGATAGCTTAGGGACATTTCATAATTATTCTTATATCCTTTGTGGTGTGTTCTCTTTGTCTGTTTGTGTCTGGGTCTCTCCATGTTGGTTGTCCTGGAACTCACTCTGTAGACCAGGCTGTCCTTGAACTCACAGAAATCCACCTGCCTCTGACTCCCAAGTGCTGGGATTAAAGGTGTGAGTCACCACTGCACAAAACCTATTCTTAGTTTTGGCAGTAATACCATTTTAGCTATTGGTATCAAAGCTGCCTTGAATCTCCTTTTCCTGAGGTTCTTAATACTGGGATTTATATGCATACATATATATTGAAATTTATAAAGACAATCTACAAAGAAGTGATTATTTTCTTTAAAATATAATCACAGAATTTATTGCTCAGTTTTCCTACTTTCGTTGGTGTTTACTCTTTTATGTGGAATTTTGCTGTCAGAATTCTTAGATTTCCAATTCAGGACTTGAATTTAAAACACAGGTAACTACACTGCTGTGGACATTTATACACTAAGACAGAAAACACCACATGATGTCACTGTTATTGGATTCAACACATACTATACCCCCAACTTAAAATTTCTCATCTGAAGCTGCTTGAGTCTCTGTGCCCCACACACCCCCAACAACTCCACACGTGAAAGGGAAGTGTGCCCACGGTTGAGCTGCACAGACAGCCTTTGGGAACTCACTTTTTTTTTTTTTATTTTGAGAAAGGATACCCAAGTTGCCCTCAAACTTGTTAGCCTCCAGAATAGCTGGCATTACACTTTTTCATTTTAGTTATGAATACCATTTTTTCATTTTTTTCTTAAGAAATGGTGACTCTCAGCTCCTACCACGGCCCGAGCTTGTTTCTCATGCGCTCTAGGTTAAGGCCGATCAGCTTTCCTGTGCTGCATGTGTCACTGATTTCGTTTCCTGGCAACGTGGAAGAAAAAAATACTCAACCTAAATTCAGTTTAAAAGCCAGGCTTAATGCCGTCTGAAATGTGGGGAACTCTACACGATTTTATTCTTAACCACACAATGATTCAGAAACGGGGGGATTTCTGCTTGAAGTTAGTACGACTTCTCTTGCTGCAAAAAATGTACTGACCTATTTAGATGGTTCTATTTCCTTTGCCAGACCTCTGACAAAGTCACTAACTGTAAAAGTAAACACATAAAGTTTATTCTCAGTTTATTCCAGTTAAAGTTTACGTACTGAGAAGTTTAAGGTAGATGTATAAATGACTGAACTGCTAAGTTAAATGGTTTTAGCTAAACAGTCTCTACTTGCTCTTCCTAGTGACCCTGACCCCTGCTGGATACAGAAATGGCCAACAATTTCACTACAGCGCTGGCAGCTTCTCAGGGCAATAACTGTGACCTCTATGCACACCACGGCACGGCCAGGATACTGATGCCTCTGCATTACAGCCTTGTCTTCATCATCGGGCTGGTGGGAAACCTACTGGCCTTGGTTGTCATTGTTCAAAACAGAAAAAAAATCAACTCAACCACTCTCTATTCAATGAACTTGGTGATTTCTGACATCCTGTTTACCACAGCCTTGCCCACTCGGATAGCCTACTATGCCCTAGGCTTTGACTGGAGGGTTGGTGATGCCCTGTGCCGGATAACTGCCCTGGTGTTCTACATCAACACCTACGCAGGCGTGAACTTCATGACCTGCCTGAGCATAGACCGCTTCTTCGCCGTGGTGCACCCTCTACGCTACAACAAGATTAAAAGGATCGAATACGCGAAGGGTGTTTGCATCTCTGTCTGGATTCTAGTATTTGCTCAAACCCTGCCTCTGCTCATCAAACCTATGTCCAAGCAGGAGACTGGCAGGACAACTTGCATGGAATACCCAAACTTCGAGGAGACGGCTTCCCTCCCCTGGATTCTGCTCGGGGCGTGCCTGCTCGGCTATGTGCTGCCCCTCGTAATCATTCTCATCTGCTACTCCCAAATCTGCTGCAAACTCTTCAAGACTGCCAAGCAGAACCCACTCACTGAGAAATCGGGTGTGAACAAGAAAGCTCTCAATACAATCATCTTCATCATCGTGGTGTTCATTCTCTGTTTCACGCCTTACCACATATCAATCATCCAACACATGATTAAGAAACTCTGCTCCCCTGATGCCCTCGAATGTGGCCAGAGATATTCCTTCCAGATCTCCCTGCACTTCACAGTGTGCCTGATGAACTTCAACTGCTGCATGGACCCCTTCATCTACTTCTTTGCATGTAAAGGCTACAAGAGGAAAGTCATGAAGATGCTGAAGCGGCAAGTCAGTGTGTCCCTCTCCAGCGCCGTGCGGTCAGCCCCTGAGGAAAATTCACGGGAAATGACGGAGTCCCAGATGATGATCCACTCCAAGGTTTCCAACGGAAGGTGAAAGGACATGAGAGGACACACTGGGCTTCACAACAGAGCAAGCTGTGCGGTGGCCTCTGCAGACCGAGCTCAGTCCCATTGCCACTCTGCCAAAGGATGCACTGAGATCCAGTCCATCTCGAGGGAACAACAAAAGCAAGTTCTACTCCATAGCTGAAATACTCTATGTATAAGGAAAGGCTGCCTTGGTCAGTCTTGATGTAAAAAGAACTGTTCTGTGTTCCTCAGAACACAGTTGTTACTATCTCTGGCAAACAATAAGACAGATTCCACTGTGCACTGTCAGTGTAAAAATGTTAATACTGTAATATAGCAAACATATTTCTTAATTTACACCTCTTTTAATTTTAGACTTTATCTCCCCAGTTTTTATTTGCTTGTTTGTTTTGTTCTGAGACAGGGATTTTAAGGAAAATTTTGTGGGATAAAGAACAGGAGGTAACAAATGTATTAGTATGGCGGTGCCAGCGACCAGCGGCGGTTACAAGTATAGTGAACAAAGGGTTAATGTAGAGAGTAAGATGCTGGTGAGCATCAGTGGCTGAGAGCATCAGCTCCTCCACACTCCTCCACACACAGCCAGGGCAGCACTCTGGACCCCTGCTCAGAAGAACGGCAGGGCTTTCCAGGGAGGCTCACAGTGGAAGCATGGCTACATGCTACACTCCGCTGACGACAGAAAATGCCTGGTCTACAGAGTGAGTTCCAGGACAGTCAAGGTTGTTACATAGAGAAATACTGTCTCTATAAATTGTGCATTTATTTCCTGATTTATTTAGGCAAGTATGGCAATTATAATTGTCATCCTCACTGTTCCCACTGCTTAAAAGCTAATCTACAGGTATATATATGCCAGATACTACCAATGTGCACGGATGCTTTATTTTCCTTGGCTTTCCTAGGATTTTTTTTTTTTTGAATTGGCATATATATACTTGTACTACCTGAAGAGGCCAGAAGAAGGTGTCAGATCCCCTGGGACTGGAGTTATAGATGGTTGTGAGTCACCATGAAAGCATTGGAAACTGAATGTGGGTCCTCTGGAAGAGCTCTTAACCATTGAGCCATCTCTAGAAAACCCTTTTCCTCATTTGAGACTTTACCAGTCTAGCTAGCCTGGAATTCTCTGCATGGAGAGGCTAGCCTTAGACTGTGTATGATCCTACTGTCTCTTGCCTCCTTCGTGCTGGGACTAGAAGTATCACAGCAGCCTGCTGCGATTCTTTGTGACATTATACAACTGCCTTACAGGCAGCGTGGCTTCCTAAACACTGTTTACCTGATCACATTTGCTTTCCTTTAGTCCTGAAATTTCCCCAGTACAGTTTCTCAGTTGGTAAAGATACCAATTTAGATAATAGGAAAGAAATAAAACACTATACCATGAGTCATAATTTCAATTTTTATTGTGGTGTATGCCCTGAAAATACTTCATTTTAATAAAATAACCTGTTTTGTTATTTGTCTTTCGAGACAAAGTCTCATTATATAGTCCAGACTGGCCTTGTACTCATTATGTATCCCAGGAAGGTCTTCAATAATTAAACCCCTTCCTTGGGCACATACTTGTAACCCCAACACTTGGGAGTCAGAGGAAGGATGACTGCTGAGAGTCAGGGCCAGCCTGGAAGAGGGGGTCAGACAGTATAGCAAGCCTCTGCTTCAAAAGAAAGGTAAAACTTCCAGAGTGAGCTTCCCGAACGCCGAGACTGCAGGTGTTGCTACTGGGCCCATCTTGGAAAATACATCTTAACCATCACTACTATAACTATACTGAGTACAATTAAGGTCCAAATGATGTCATTTTCACAGAGCATTCTGGTCTTAAAGCCACAATGGCTAGTCTGAGGGAGGCAGGTGAAGTCCGGATCCTGATTTCTTCCCTCACCCCATCTCTGGATTTTCCAAGTGAGGGTGGAAAGAGCCAAACACTACATTTTGTCAGGGTGTGGCTAAGCCAGACTTCTAGGAAGAAACACTCATAAAAACCAGACACAGTTTTCTTACTTTCCCAGCCCTTAAGACAAGCAAGCTGGTTCTGTGACCACATTGGAGCAGAGATCGTCACACAGAGCCAATCAAGCCACTTGAGTGTGACAAGCTCTGCTGCCTGCCAGGCTCCCCACCTTCTCCCCCCACCTTACCACAGATAAGTGACTGTATCTTATCACCTACAGCACACTGCAAAATGGTGACCTGCAAGCCTCTCCTCCACCCAGATGCGTGGAAATCTCTGGGTCCAGACAAAGGGGTCCAGCTCTCCACTCAAGGTTGCCAGTGCTCAGCTCCACCGTAAGGCAACTGCTCACAAGTGACCTGGGCACACACGCCTCACTTGGGCTTCAGTCAGCTTTACTTTTCTTCCAAGCATTTTACCAGCAAGTGAACTTGGTGCGTGAGGGCAGTGCTGCGCACCTTTGGGACTCTGTGGCAACAGAGGAAGTGACCTGCCAGATCCTCACCTGAGTATTTGCTGCATGAATATGATAAACTTTAACAGACAAACAATAACAGGAAGCTATAAACTCTTCAAGCTACTGGATAATCTCATTCCTCTTTTGTAACCTCATTTTTATTTCTAAAAAGGCCATTCAGCTAATTTAAAAATTCTCAAAGCTATTTAGTTTAAGCTCTGTTAAATGTGAGGCTGGAAGAAAAAATACAACATCTTGAAATTTTCAGGCAAATGGATGGAGCTAGAAAACATCATATTGAGTGAGGTGACCCAAACCCAGAAAGACAATTATCAGATGTACTCATTCATAAGTGTTTTTTAAACATAAAGCAAAGAAAACTACCCTACAACTCACAATCCCAGAGAACCTAGACAACAATGAGGACACTAAGAGAGACATACATAGATCTAATCTACATGGGAAGTAGAAAAAGACAAGATCTCCTGAGTAAATTGGGAGCATGGGGACTTGAGAGAGGGTTGAAGGGGAGGGGAGCAGAGAAAAATATAGAGCTCAATAAAAATCAATCAATCAATCAATAAGTGTGAGGTTGGAGAGATGAAACAGTGGTTACGAGCACTGGTTGCTTTCAGAGGACCCAGGCTCAGTCCCAGCACACACGTGGCGGCTTACCACCACATTTAACCCCAGTCCCGGGGAAACTGATGACCTCTGCTGCCCTCCTGGGGTACCTGGCACGCACAAAGTGCACAGACGTACAAAGAGGCAGAACACAACACACGCACATAACATAAATAATAAAATTATTTATTTAAAAAAGATAAGCTAAATGCATTGACTCTTCAGTAACAGTTCAGAACAGTAAATACCAGATAGAAACAGCACTGGCTATATTTTAAAGACTCAAAATTTTTCAGAGTAAATCATTTCTATCATCATATTCTTGGCTTTTAGAATTCTGTGAACCAGACAAGATTATTCACACTAATTCTAGAAAAGGCAACTGGCCAACCAGAGGCAGGAGGGGAGGGTAGCCTTAATCCCACCAATGAGCCATGAAGCCACGGACTGTGTGGACATAAACAAAGGTAGGAGAGGCCTCACTGCCACCTTACACCACAGACTACAAACCCTTCCGTAGGGGAAATCACTCAGCTCTGGGGAGGTATAAGGTCGGCCGTGGACTGCATGAGGCCTGGGGCGGTGCACACAAACCTGGCAGAGTGAGGGCACCAAGGTGTGCCGCATCCACTAAGGAACAGTACACACTGCGCACGGTCACCAATGCTGTGACGCCCAGTGAAACCTCCTGAGTACTCAATTTCCCCATGACATGAAAATACAGAAATGGCGATGACAGAGAAATACATGAACTTGGCATGTCCTAGAAGACCCTCCAGGTGAGACGTGTGAAGAAGCAGAGCGCGTTAGCCAGCAGGTCAGCAACAGAACTGGAGACGGAAGTGCAGCTGCTTGAACAGAATCTAGCGTTTCAAGAGGCCTGAGCCGCAGCCCAGCACCAGGAAAGGCAGCATGCCACTTTCAAAAGGGACACACCCATCTTAACTTAGCCCTTAAAGGACCTATTCTGGTAACTTCTCAGCCTGCTGTAATTTGTTACTCTCTGAAAACATCTAGCTATTAAATATTCAGATGCAGGAGAAGTGGAAAGCGCAGAAATGAGAAGTGAGGGGTGACGGGCCCAAGGGAGTGACCGGTCCAGAGGAATGCCCAGGCCCAGGGGAGTGACCGGGCCCAGACTTCTGAACCGAAGGTCACATGAGTGTTTGCTAGAGCTGCTCGCAGAGGGCGCGACACAGCAAACTTAGAAATGGCTGAAATTCCACACAAGAATACACGGAGGATGGAACCAGGGCTCGGCCTGTCTCTGCACAACAGCCTGACTGGAAGCAATCCATGCTGCTGCCTGCTGAGCATGCTCACTAGTCAGTCTCCTCTCTCAGCAGGCCCCAGGCTTCCACTTCCTGTAGCTTTCTGTGCTGAGGACCTTCCTCCATCACCCCTCTGAACCTCAGTCTGTTTCCCAGAACAGCCTGTCGTTTCTCCACCTGTGCAGTCTTTATCACCTGCCCAATCAGCCTCCTCTGTGAGGAGGGTCATGTGGTGTAGAAATCCCTGCTTAGGCTACTTTCCTCTTCTCCCACAGTCCTGTGTCACCCCCAAGTCCAGTAGCTGGCTGTGGAGCATCTATGTTATCTGAGCCTCTCAGATGGAGTCAGAAACTGCGTTTCTTCAGGACGCCACCCAGAAGCGGTCTGCACTAACCGCCCACCAAATGCACAACACACTGCTCTCAGCGGTTTGCTCCTTCAAGCTCCACACTAGTTCTGTGAGGACCGGGGTGGGGAGGAGAGCTGGGATAGAAACGAGGACCTCAGCATGTTAGGTGAGTGCTCTACCACTGAGCTACACCCTAGGGTTCAACTTACTACTTAACGCCCCTGGCCTTCCCACTACAAAACCAACCTGCCTGAGGATGCAGGGAATTTGCCCAAAGCCTCAGCCCGCAGGGAGCAGGCTCTGAACTCTCAGTCTGCATCACCACACTTTCTCCACAAACAAAGGGAATCACATGTCCCTCAGAGAGCCTTGAAAGAGATGCCACCAGTGCCCCGTGTGTGTGCCCTGTGGTGTGTGTGCCCACGGGCTGGGGAAAGTGACATGTCACTTCTGGGTTTACTGTGAGAGAGGAGGGAGGTGTATTTCCCCGACATTTCTATCTCGCCACGGAGAGGCCTCTGGGTAGGACAGAACTCCCACTTAGGCCCCATCTACTTGTGCTGTGCAGACACCAGACGTCCTCCTGTGCACTAAAGCCCTGGGTTCCTGGTGTGTGTCTTACCGCAGCACAAGCCAGTCTAGGATGATTAATTCAGGGTTCAACCTGCCTGGACAGAAGGAAGAAACACTAGCATATAGGAGAGCAAGGTGTGGTCACTATCCAGTTCTGGGGTGCAAACGTGCTCTCCCCTTAAGCTCACTTCCACGGGGTCACTAATTCCACGCTCCAAGACTGACGACAAGTTCCCCATCACATCAAAGTCCCTCTCTCACATTCTCAATCCTCCCAACCTGATTTCGCTTCATTGCTCAGGCGTACCTTCTGAGTCAACCGGGCTGCTTCTGTCGCAGGTGCAGAGCCCATCCTTGGTTCTCATTCGCTGTATTTATTGGTTTCCTCTGCTCACTGTTTAGTTCTTACACCCAAATCCTAACTCTTCCTTTCACTCTTGTTTGGCTGCTCCACACCACCCAGCTTCCTTTAACATATTTTATTTAGTTTTTAAAGTCTATGTCACATAGTTGGAACTTGATGTTCAATATTAAAAAAACAAAAAGAAAACACTGTGCTAGCCAGAGACCTCAAGCTTCAAGTCTAGCTGGCTACTAGCCAGACCTTTCCGACTCTGTCCAGTATTTAGCCTTTCTAGACCTCAGTGTCCTTATCAGTGAATAAGAGAAGGCGTTAACACGCAGTCTGCCCAGCCGCCACTGCCTAGCCTGTGAACAGTTGTTAGTTCATTCTTGATTCTTTAACCTTCAGATAAAACATTAGACTTCACTGGGGCTAAGACACTGATATTCACATCTCTCTGTTCTGGGAGGTTCTGAGCACAGCCCGCTGAACAGACAAGGCTCAAACACCACACTGGCTACAGGCCATCACACTGCAGCTATGTGCATCCCAGAGCCCGGTGGATGTGAGCTTTGTACACCGCATGCCATATGCCCTAGGCAGCAACAGGTAACCAAAACATGTTTGCATTGAACTAATAACCATGTCCAGCACAGCAGATTAGAAGTCAGAATGACAAACTGGGATCCTGTTCATTCTCTGCTGACAACGTAAGAAGATACCGCCAGCTTCTCCACTTCCTTCCACACACGAAAAGTGACATGGCTGTTTACACGCATTTATCTCTGATAGCACAATTTCAGACTCAGCTGTCAGAAGTGGAGGA